AAAAAAAAAAACCACTGGCAAAAGAGAAGGAATTGGATGTACAGAAATTATATAACTGATTTAAGCAATGATAATGGCTCCTGGGTATGTTTTCTGTTTTTTTTTTTCCTCAGAAGGTGAAAATGACTTTCACACAAAGCCATTGTTTGCCTTTTTGTTTTGACCTTTGCATTTATGGTGCAGAAACAATGGAGGTGAGCCTGGTGGTATCTTAGCTTTGTGGTTTACAGCAAGAGAGAAAACTAGACTCTTGAACATCATTGTGCTTTATGAAGCAGTAAAATAGGAAGTCTGCATAAAAACACTTCAGCACACTAGGGAGTGGTGGCTGTCTTGAGGATCTCTTTGGCACTTGAAAGCTGAACTAGGTTTTGTGGAAGGTTATTTTTACTTGGAAGAATGACAGTGTTTATTCAGACCTAAGCATTTGACATTTTCTTGAAAATGAGTGAACTTGTCACTTGAAGGAAAACAACTGACAGCGTCCATTGGCAATGATGAAATCTGAGGTTTCAGGCAAAAATTAGTATTTTGTAAGACTTGTATATACCACGGTGAGCTTAACAGCTTCCGAGTCTTCTGATGAGATTGATGGTATTAATAACAAATATGATTTTTTTTCCTATTATTAAATGTCAACACTTGGAAATCCCTTATCACTTGATGAACCAGTACTTCCAAATGGCCAATGCACAATAGTTAAAAATCATGCATGAGTAAAAGATTCAAAATGCAAAATAGGAGTTTCATAACAGTAGAAAAAGTTTGTTGCATGTAACTATTGAATTGAATATGAAGAGAAAAATATTTGCCATTATCTGAGATGACTTGATTGTCTCTTTAAATTATTAGACTTTTTGTATACTTAAACAATATGATGCAAGAGTGAATGCATACATGATAACAGAATCCAGGTATCTTCTATTTAACCAGACATAAGAGATTTGCAAAAATAGAAGCAAGACTGCTTTTTGCTTAATAAATTAGTTTAAGTTCACATAAAGAAAAACTCTTATGGATGTTCTGTATTTTAAATGAAAAGGGGTTTATGACCAAAAATTTTAAAACACTGTTTAAGCTGATGACTTATAGAAAAGCAAAATTGTTGTAACTAGAGAAGTGATAATCAAATGAGGTAATTCTTTAAGAAAGGTGAAAAGAATAGGAATTCTAAGTATAAGTTAAGGGATTACCCTTTGATAAAAATAGGAATATGTTCTTTGTTATAAAAGGAACTACTGATTATAGATTTTTGTGAAGGGGAAAGATTATCTATTGGTATCCATTTTCTCAAGGTATATGATGAGCTTAAACAGTGAGGTGTTCAAAAGTAAAGAAAAATTGCAAGGAGAATCTGAGTGTCTTCAGAAGTAGGCAGGTATTTAATTGAAAAATAGGGCTATGAACCTGAGAAATACAGGACTTCCACTTGAATTTTAAAGAGATACCAATACTCCTATTTATGATTCCTCCTCCATCAGTTTTCAGCTGTTAAGGTACAAGAAATAACATAAAGAATTTATTTAGGGTTTGAGTTTTGATTAGCAGTTTAAGAGGAAGAGTGGAATTTAAACATATTTGCAATGTAGTGATTATAATGTTGAAGAGCAATCTCAAATGGTTATAATAATGGGCTGCGGATTATGTTAAAAGTCAGGATAGGAACATTCAGAGGATATGGCAGGATGGTGAAAAAGTAATGGGTTAATGCATGAATTGGATTTTAATTGAAAGATAGATGGTCAAAGAGTGTAGCTTTTTTATTAGAAATTTTCTTTACTAGTGGTGATGGGTTCAAGAGACAGCCAGAGTCAGAAACTGAAGTAGAGGAACAAGTGAACATGTCACTGAAGCCAAGAAGGGCAAGAACTGGGAGGCCAAGCAGTACATGTTATCCATAGGAATGAGAGGGCTTTGAATCAGGTGACAAACTTTCAGTGAAGGAAGGAGCATGACTAAGAGGTCAGTAGTAAAATGTACAAGATAAATGTTGCAGACCTAGATTGCGTGTGCTTCACAGTAGTAAAGTTCTTTTGATTGCAGGAGAAATGGTATGCTTTGTACTGGATGGATCTCCTTTAGGACCAGACAGCAGTTATTAACTACAGGAGATGTTTTATGCAAATTGCAAAAATCCAAAAGAATAATAGAGTGGAAGGATGTGAGATAACAGAAGGGTTGAGATTTAATCCAGACCAATGCAGGGAATGAGAATTTAGATTAAACTAGATCCAGAAAGACTTGAATTTTTAGTAGTGACTAAGGGTAAGCAGTCATGATGATGCTGAGATTGAGCCCCGCTGCTAGCATCACCAGTACTTTACTAAGTGAGACAACAGCTTTCAGCTCTATATAATGGTACAGGAAACCAGCAACATGCTCTTCCCTCAGAGCATGGGAAAATTTATTGGTCACTGTCATCTTCACTGTTTATAAATAAAGTAGAAATAGTAAATTTCATTCAAAGCTGGAACTGACACAGAAGCTAACCTAAAACTTGAAATAGTATTCTTATATTTACATAGTAAGTAATCAGTAAAAAGGGGATTTTAATTTTGTCCTTTTGTGAATCCTCATAAAACATGGCTAATACCTTAAAACAGATCCATGTTTTCAAGTAATTATTTCTGTAGATAGAATCATTTGTCAAATGTCTTCTCTATGTGAAACAGATTAGCATTATGAGAGAATAAATACTAATCTTAAGAGGGAAAGTTGGAAGTTGTAGCATTTGGACAAACTCATGTTGAACAGGCAGAAAGGGGAATTTTCGACCATATGAGTGCCATGAGAGTATGAAAATTGAACAGTGCTGAGCAGTCAGTGGAACAGTTATACCAGAGCATAGATTGCCCTCCCCCTTTAATAATAATTAAAGGAGCAAACTTTTTAAAACTGACATGGCTTTTTAGGATTTCTAGCAGCCAGATTAGGGAAAAGTTGACACAAGTATGCAAACTATCGACTGATATATTCCAGTTAGAGATGGAAGTGCTCTGAAAAATCAGAATTTACATGCTACTTATGTTAATGACCTCCCTTTTTTGTAATATCAAAATATACTGTATCTCCCTTAGTGATTTATCTACCACAGAACTCAAGTGGTTGTGAAAAGGTTAAGAAGAAACAAGATTTAGGTAGGGAATTCTGATGGTCTAGATTAAGAAGAGGGAAGAATAAATGCAAGGATGTAGCAATAGAAATGATAAAGACAAAAAAGGTGGGAGATTTTTTACACAGAATGAAAGATGTCAGAACTAAAAAGTGAATGGCTGTCTTAGGAAAGTTTTATTTTCAATACAGTCCTACACTATCTCAGTGCACCATCAGAATGCACCTTGAAGGACAAATTTAAAGGTGGGATGTATTAATAACAGCATTTTGCTTGGTTACCTTGTTTCTTGACTGTCATACACATATAAGTGTGGAGGGCAAGTGCAGATGGGAATCTATAGAAATCTTCCATATGACAAAGTAACAGGTACAGACATATTTTGACTTGTCAGAGATGTTTCAGTAAACACTAAAAGTGGAGATTGAAACCCTGGACCCTCAAGTCCTAATGACTACTCAGTATTTTTGAAACTTTAGGTAACTTCCAGATATCATCAGTTAGTTCTGGCAAAACTGAAAACTTGTTTTAAGTAAGGTTATATAAGTGGTGAGATTATTTAAAAAGACAAAAGTAGATATGATTCCTAATATATAACAGATTCAAAAAAGTTATTTATAAATTGTTATTCTTTGTAATTCCAGAATATCTAGTAATAGTTCATTAGAATGCTGCTGTCTTTTAAATGTGCTTTTAAAAATGCTATTAGAGCTATTTCCAGAATTTGTTTTATTGAAAACATCTGTTTTTGTTTTTGTTCAGTTTTAATCGCTTGGATCTACCACCTTATAAGAGTTATGAACAACTAAAGGAAAAACTACTTTTTGCAATAGAAGAGACAGAGGGATTTGGACAAGAATGAATGTGGCTTCTTGTCTTGGATGATCTCTTGCATTTAAATACCCCAGCCAAGAAAAATTGCACAGATAGTGTATATAAGCTGTTCATTCTGTACAGTGAATTTTCTGAACCTCTCAAAGTATAAATGTTTTCCCTCTTCCACAGAAATATGCAAAACATTCATCTTTTTTCTATTTTATTTATTGTTCCCTTGAAGTGACTGACAAAAATAAGTCCTTAATTTTGAAGTAAGCAAGAGACTTTAAAATAAGTATATATCTATATAAGCATATATGATAGTGGCTCTAGTTTTATAGAGCAACAAGTGTATTAAACATGAAAGCTGTTCATTCAAAAATACCTGGATTTGCTTTACCTTGTTTTTGTTTTCCAAGGGAAAAAGCGCAAAATGCTCTATGTTCTCCCTTTGTAACATCTGAGGGTGTTTAGTTGCATGGCTATTCAAGAAGGTATTAAGGGCTTAGGCCAGATCTCACTTTTGATGTTTAATAATGCTGCTGGCTTTTCTGATGGCAGGTGCTTTCATGAATCTGTCAGTTTGTTTTAAATAAATACAATAGTTGAAATTTTTCCCTCTCTGCTACATCACTAATACCGTCAAAACAATGAATGAAACAACATCTTACATGAGAGCCATATAAGTAGGTCCATTTAATTTATACTAGAAATTGGAGAGAATTCATTGAGCAGCATAGAGACTTGTTTACATGTTACTTTGGGATGCTAGATTATTTGTGGAATAGACAAGAATCAGGTACTTAATGTACTTTTCCTTTTAAATCTGATGTTTAATTCATAATAAATTGATGCAATTTGATACTTAGGAACAAAAGGTAATGTGAACTTTACTGCTTTTGTGTTCAAAGTTTCATTATTATGAAATCACATAAAGAGTTGTTTGAACACTGAATGATTTTCAAATATTTTCATTAGTCTTTAAAATTCATAAAAATTCTATGTATCTGAATTAAATAAGCTTATAAAAATCTTTGATCCCTTCCCCTTCTTTAGTCATTTTCTGTCCTAGTTTTTTTTTTTTAATCAAGGGCATTTACTGGACTACAGATGTATATAAAAAATTAAAATCTGATGCAACATTAATGGGCTTTAACATACTAGGCTTCCTTACTAATAGAAAAGTTCTCATTTGTATTTCAATATGGACTATCAATTTGATTAATATTTCACTGCTTAGTACATGCAAAAGAGTTGGTATACAATTTCCTATAAAGATTAAATAAAGGCAGTGATCCACTCAGTTGAATACATTTTAAGCCTAAATAATTATTGCATAAACATTTATGCAAAAGGTCACAGATCTCCAATAGATCTGAATTTTAGCATACTGCTGCTATAGGAATTCTGCTTTGATAGAAGTTAGTGTAATCATTCAATGGAAGTGAATTCCAATTAGCAAATTGACTAAAGATCAACTTTCAGGTTGATCCCCTACTCCTCCATACCGGTAAGAAACTGCTAAACAGCAGGTAAGGTTATGCAGAACCACCAGAGACCAAACTGAAGAAGGGTAGTTTGGGACACTTGACAGGGCTGTTTACCTTGCAGAAATCCAGACCCAATGGGCAGGACTGATATCTAAATTACTCCATGGCAGTAAAAGAAACCTGGAAATTTGGCCAACCTGTTCTCCCTTCAGTAGGTTAGTCGGACGGATACAGCTGTGCATTGTGTGTAGTATGCAACAAGCACCTCAAGCTAGCAGTCAGCTCTGGAACATGTGAGTAACAATCAGTAGGACTGCAGCAGAAGAATAGAATGCAGGGTTCACTCCCAGGATAGTGGCAGATCTCACCCTAAGTAGGAAGATGCCAAGAACCAATGTTCAACCTGGTGAATTAGGATGCTGGGAAGTCAAGAAAAAACAAAATCAATCTGGGGAGGTAATACACATATAAGCCAGGAGCCAGCCTTAAGGGGAGGAGAGGGCTGATTAAACAATTCTATAAAGAATCCAATGACCATACTCTTGGTTGTTTATCCCAGAGACATGAACATTTGTGGATAGAAGCTGTACTTGGTGTTCCTAACAGCCAAAAATGGGGAAGAGCCTAAATGCCCTAAAACTGGCATATCCACACAATAATTACACTCAGCAAAAAAGTCACACACGATTGACTGAATTTAGATGAAACTCAAAGCAACAGTAATTTCCTGAAATTGGAGAAGGTTTAGAAGAATGAAAAAATAACCTCAAGAAATGACTATGAGGAGGACAAACTCCTTACAAAGAACATGTGAGGTAACAAAAAGTCAATACCAGCCCTCCCTGGTGGCACAACAGGTTAAAGCATAGCACTGTGAATAAATTGCAGTCACTGCAGCACAAGTTCAATCCCTGGCCAGGGAGGTGACCCACTGCTCCCCCTCAGTTTACTTCAGTCTTCCTGCCAGTTCTGCTTCCCTGTCTGTCTCTGGTGAATCCTCTCACTCCCACTCCCCACACCTCTAGACTATACCCCAATTTTTGTATGCATAAACATGGTCTTAAAAAGTCAATACTACAAGGGAGGAAAAGACGGGATCACTTAAAAAAATGGCAAAAGATACAATGTGTGATCCCAGATTGGATGCTATTTCAGACATCTGCGGAAATATGAATATAGATGGATATTACTAGATGATGTTAAGAGAATGAATGTTCACTTTCTAGTTGTGATAATGGATTTGGGTTTGCTAAGAATATCCTTAATTCTGAGATAATATAATCTGAAATACTTGGGTGATAAAATACGTTGTCTGTAATTACCTTCAAAGGTATATAACAATACAAATTCCTATATAGCTGAACATAAGTAAAATATAAGATAAACTGTTAACTGAATCAGACATGAATACAGCTTCAATTCTTTTTGAAAATACACTTGATGAAACAGAAAAAGCACCGAGTCAGAGTTTACTAATATTACAACTTAAAAGCAGACCTATACATACTCACGTTATTTACCTAAGTGCACTTGAAGATATATTTTTTAAAAATTGAGATTTTATACTGGAAGGACACCAATCTCAAAACCTTACTGCCTACTTAAAATTTTATTTATTTCCACTTTATCATCTAATTCTGTGTTCCTTCCCTCTGCTTATTTGTGCTTTAATGATAATTTATCAAACTCATTTAAAGAAGGGAACCACCTCATCTAAAGTCTTCCCTTGACTTTAGTTCTTTGCTTATGCAGATTGTTCTAAGATACCTATATATATGTTTAAGAGCTGGGATAAAGGTCAGAGGTGTGGAGGGTGAGAGGATTCACCAGAGACAGAGTGGGAAGCAGAACAGGCAGACTGACTGAAACATACTGTTTGAGGGGAACAGAAGGCAGGTCAGAAGAGGTCTGCCACACCATGTGGGTCACCTTATGGTCGGGGGATTGAAGTCATGCTGAGGTGGCTTCAGAGAGCTTCATAGTGCTGTGCTTTAACCTGTTGTGCCCCCAGGGAGGGGCCCAAGATACATCATTAACTACTTAACACCCTAATTTTCACTGTACCTTCTCTGTAAGGTCTTTACTTTGAATGAATCCAATCTGAAAAGTACTTCACCATATGTGACCTCTTTCACTAAAGCTTTTATTTCTTGATCTCATTTCATTCTGATGTGATTAAACCTTACAAATCTACCATTCTGTGTTACTGGCTTACCCAGATGCAAACTAATTTCTGGCCTTGAACCATGAAGATAATTTCTACCATTTTTAAGCAATTACTTGCCTTGTTATTTGTGAAGAACTCTAGAATTCTGTCTCTGTTAAATGGTCACAGTAGTGAAAAAACTAAGAAAAAGGCTCTAGAACTATAGTTATGGTTTAATGTATTACCTTTAAATCTGATGAAAAGGCAATGCTAGATATTTCATGTGCTTTCTTTGCAAAATTGTCATTTCTTATCACTGAAACTTGTAAGCAACTGAGCAGCTTCTGTCTGTACCTAAAATGAAAAAATACACATTATAAATGAAATAGCAGACATCAACCTCTAAAATTTAAGTTCATAAAGTGAACTGTGGCCTCCAAAATCCAGGATAGCACATTGTCAAGGTAAATTTTTTAGCAGTGACTGTAGATTAGACACATAGTGTCCCTTAGTACTGATTGTTGACACTAACTAAAAACTTGTCGTATAGAAATTTAAATGTTAATGTCCATGAGTTCTTGACAGAAATGGAATACTATTTTCAACAACATATTCATCTAGATTATTGTTTTAAAACATATTAAAAGTTCTTAGTTTACCTTTATCTAACAGCATCTTAACATAAACCTTAATGTACCTTAAAATACTTTTTTGGAGGGGCCTTCCTGGTGGCTTAGGGGTTAAGTCTCAGCACTATCACCTCAATGGTCTGATTTCAATCCCCAGCCAGGAAGCTGACCCACATTTGACAAAGTAGACCTGTCCTTGCTGCACCCTCTGTTCCCCTTCACAGTTCATTTAGTATATCCATGGTTCTGCTCCCCACTCTGTTTCAGGTAAATCCTCTTGTCCTTCCCCCCACCCCTGCACCTCTGACCTATACCACAGTTCTGTGCAAAAAAAATCAAAACACTTTGGAGCGGTATACCTGTTTATCTTCCTCTGTGTGAGCTGGATAGTCCTTAGCCTTCAATAACCAGAAAGCAGCAAGCTTTTTGTTGTGTAGCTTCAAATAGGTCTTTCCTAAAAGAAGCAAGTTCTTACTGTAGAAGTTTGGATCCACTGTAAGTAAGGGAAAAAAAAATTATCAGATGAATTACTATTTTTTTTTTTTAAGATTTATTTATTTATGCATACAGAACTGGGGTATAGGGTACAGGGTGAGAGGATTCACTAGAGACGGCAGGGAGCAGAATGGACAGACTGACCAAATACACTGCTGAGGGGAGAGTAGACAAGACAGGAGAGGTCTGCTGCACCATGTGGTCACCTCTGGGCCAGGGATCAAACTCGCACTGAAGCGACTACGGCTAGCTTGCAGTGCTGCTCTTTAACCCATTACACCACCAGACAAGACCCTGTTCTTATTTTTAAAGGCTTAATTTAGTCTAAATTCCAGAAGTAAATTTATGTAGTTAAAAAGTGATTAAGCTAACTGTAATTCTTTTCTGTTCAGCTATATCTAAAAGTTACAAAATAACCGCTAAGCAATATATTTCTCATTTTTACATTTTTATTTTAAAGATTATGCACACAAGATCTGGGGTACAAGCCAGAGATGCAGGAGTGAGAGGATTCACCAGAGACAGAATAGGAAAAAGAGGTAGATCTAGTGAAATACACTTCAGAGGGGAGCAGCGGGCAGGTCAGGAGAGCTTCGCCAAACCATGTGGGTCAAACTGGTGCTATAGTGGCTATGCACAACCCCACAGTGCTCTCTTTAAGCCACTGTGCCACCAAGGAGGCCCTCACTTTCTCATTTTTATATTCACTTAACAAAGGGAACAGGCTCCTGGTAAAATAAGTTCCTTAACAATAGGGGTTTTTTTTAGTATCTTCTGTTCCCTGCTGTATAATAAAGTGCCTAGAACATAACAATACCCATTTGCTAATGAGTGAATGAAAATAATAAGCATAATCTATATATGCTTCATAATTACTGAATCAAATACAGTTAAGCATCAATGAAATACAGTCTCTGACCTGAGAACTTAAAACAAGTAACTAATATGAGCACAGCTAAATGTAATATAAGATAGAAGAGCAACTTGACAGGTGTACAAACTTTAAAGTGCAATGAGAAGCCAAAAGCAACTAACTCAAAGAGGTTATGTTTGGGCTAATTTACAGGCTGAAAAGTATTGTAACACAAAAGTAGGTAACATTCTTGGCGGAAGGGAAAACGTGAATAAAAAGTCAATGGTAAGAAATGGGACTGTCTCACTAACCTCATTAACTCTTTATAGTTTTCTCCCTTTGAGATGGGACCTTCTACATTCAAAGCATATTTTTATGTTGACACAATTCATGAATAATTCCATCAGTTTGCTTAACCACAGATTATCTTTTTAATTTGAACAAATTAGTGAGGGCCATGTTGATGTAGTTAAGGTTTCCTTGAAGTACCTTCTTTCATTCATTCATTCATATTTAGTCACTTAGTGAGTACAGTGTTCGCTAAATACTGTGCCCAGTAATGAGGATGCAACGGTGAGCAAAAGACAAAGTTCCTATCTTTCCTGAATAAGTCTTAGACCTTGAAACAAATACTAAATGCTTAGAAGGAGTTTCTAAACCACATGTTGATCATAAAAACTGCCTAGAGGAAGGTGCAATTTGTAGAAATGCAGTCACTGAGGACTATTTCAGCTTCACAAAACTATGACCAAGTTTTTCTCAACAACTCTAACCCTAAGTCTCTAAGGCTTTATTACACCATCAGATAAGGTTTACAATTATACAGTGTGAGAAATTTTTATTCCTCGGTTTTCAATACCATCATATGAAATAACAATCATATGAGGATGTCAATGAAAAGCAATGAAATTAAATAAAATCAGAATTATTAATGTCTTAACAGAGATAACTGATATTCAGACAGTTTTTAAGAAAGCTATCTTTAACAAATGCTTTGCTATTAGGGAACATTTGAATAAATCCATAATGAATAGGTTTACAAATGTAATGAGCACTGTCAACTTCCTTCCAACGTAAGTTTTATAGAAATGTTTGGAAAAGCTTTTTTGGGGGTGGTGTATTTGGCAACATGATTTTGTCCCTTCTCTAGATTACACTGTTAATATTAAAAATATTAAAGAGGATAGGGTAGTGACTGTTCTGTAGGTACTTTCTTCAAAGCAAGAGTAAATGAAACATCTTCACAAAAGATATCTGTGACAAAACAAAAACTGGCCTGGTATAAAAATGAGTTTCATTTAATGCCTCTAATTTGCTGTGTCATAAAACAGCTAGCCTGTCAAGCAAGGCCTTCTCTCCAAAAGAAGTTGAATTCTGTCAACTGAAGGGCAGCTCCAGAACTACAGCTCTAAATTCAGCAGGGCCTATTTTCTTCCTCAGGTGATCTTTACTGAATACTCTAGAAAAAATTTTATTGTCTAGTGCAAACAGAAGTGTATCAGAAATAACATTTTTACTTAAAAAATTCAGTGTTATATAGAGGGCACTGTTACCATTTTAATTACATATACTCAAGATATAAAAAGAAAAATTACCTTGTTCTGCCTTCTGAAAGTAGCCTAAGGCCTGCAAAAAACAAAGAGCCCATCAACTTTAAAAGTTTAAATCAACTGATATTAAAAAAGGCATTTCCTCAATTTCTACAATTAAGTCAAGAAGTAAATGAAAACATTTTATGTTAACAGTGAATTTTTTAGCAATGACAGAAGAGCTACATAGAATGTGACATTATTAAATGTGCAGAAGACAGAATTACAGTTTGTGTGTCATTTCTGGTAATAACTTAGTTAGTTGCTGTTTAGGACTTGTATTAAATCAGCATGTGTAAAGAGGAAATAAAGATTATCATGTTCAACTCAGTTTGATCTTTCTCTTAAATCCTAAAAGTAACTACTAGTAAAAAGTAGATCTAGGTCCCTCCCTGGTGGCGCAGCGGGTTAAAGCACTGCACTAAGAAGCTAAAGCCACTTCCACATGAGTTCGGCCGGGAGGAGATCCACATGGAGCGGCAGACCTCTCCTGACCCACCCGTTGCTCCCCTCAGCAATACACTTGTCAGTTTGCCTGTTCTGCTCCCCACTGTCTTTGGTGAATCCTCTCACCGCTCATGCACCCCTGGCCTGTACCCCAGTCTGTTTGCATAAATAAATCTTTTTAAAAAGTTAAAAAGATCTAACAAAACTGAATTTACCAAATGGTAAATATGTGTCAATGAATTTTTTTAAATCCATTATTATCAAAATACCCATGTAAACTATTATTGTGAATCTGAAGCTCTCTGCTAAATCTTTTTGGTACAATTTATTTTTATAATGCATTAACTTAATAATTTTATTTGTTAGAACTCCACATCTTTTTTCTTTTAGAATGAACTTTAAAAAAAAATTGCTTATGCATATAGGAAATGAGGTGCAGGGGATGAGAGGATTCACCTGAGACGGAGTGGGGAGCAGAACAGGCAAATCTACAGAAATACAATGCTGACAAGAGCAGCAGGTAAGACAGGAGAAGTCTGCTGCTAAATGTGGGTCACCTCCCTGGCCAGAGATGGAGCTCATGCTGCAGTGGCAGTGGATAGCTTCATATTGTTGTGCTTTAATCCCTTGCACCACCACAGAGGCCCCTTAAATGGATTCTTTTAATAATATTACCACCCACCTCCATTCTAATTACACAACTAAATATTTTTACTTTAAATTCTACACTACTACTTGGGGCAGGGAGAGCTTATAAGGCAAGTATTGAGAGTTTTTTCAGTAACATTTCTTTACTCTGAAAATTTAGTGATAGTGCAAAAAGAAAACATTTGCCTAGAAATCTTTTCAGATTTTATTTGCAATTACAAAAGCCAGAGGCCTTGAAAATAGCAATCTAAGCTTTTCAAACACATTTTTAAAAGAAAGTGAAAATTACTATCCCTCTATCAATACATGTTTTACTTTCTATGTAAATGACTTATTCAGAATATGTAGCCAAAACATGCTGAGTAACAGTTGTTATATTTTTGTCCAATATATATGACCATTACATGGTACAGATTTCATACAGAAATGAAGGTAGACTTTTGTGCTATTTTAGCTGACAGAATGGAATTGCCTGCACTAACCTTTAAAAAAAAAAAAAGCACTCATCACTTATAGGTAAGTATTTTGTCTTTGTAGTAAGATAGTTACACTGGATGGCTAGAAAAGTGCGAGTCCTCACGGATCAGGACTCCAGACGTGTGGATACTGTAGAATGGCACTGCAGTTACAAAATCAGTACTAAAGAGTCAAACAAAGGACATCACACTACCTCCTCATAGGTGGAACTAGGAGGAGTTGCAAACAGCATTTCAGCAATTCTTCTTTGATACCAAGGCATTTCTGCAAAGGTATAACACCTGTAGGAAAAATATAACACTCAAATTGTACCTTTGCCCTAAAAGAAACTACAAATACCATATAAGAGTAATCTCGTATTACACATTTAAACAATTTGTGCTTAGTAGTATCCCGTAGATTAATATTCACTGAATTATCCAGACTGATTTATACTGACTCATCAATTAGGGTGTATTCTGTGATTAAAATTAATAGTACCAATAGTGTACATTTGGCATTAATGTACACGAAGGCTCATATTAGTGTACATTAATGCCAAAAATGATGATTTTGGAATAATGTATACATAATGCCAAATAATGCATAGTAATATACACATAATACCAAAATAATGATGTCGGAATATATGGAAAAGAGTAGAAGTTAAACTATGTTGTTTCTCAAATGAATTAGGCTGTATTTCACATACTATGAAAATGTAAAACCCTCTTGGAATATATTACTGTAGTTAAATTATTCTAACTACATTCAGCCTGGTAAATGAAAATAGTCTTTCTCAACAAAGGGTCTTTAGAGGAGTTATTTTCTTTTTAGGCTTGGTATATATTCCTAAATAATCAAGTAAGAATGTTTACTTAATATGACCACAAATTTAATACTTCTAACTATATATGTACAAGTAAGTGCTAATTAACATAATGTATTAAGTACTCTTGCCTCCAAATATTTTGTAGTATAAGGAAGTGAGATATAAAACATTTTTAAATATTTGACAGATCATACTAAATACCACTGCAATATTTAAAGAAATTTTCTTACCAGATACCCATAAGGTGAATTGAAGTAGCATCTTTGGGGTTTAGTTTGATTGCTTTCTAAAAAGAGATGAGAATGTCAACCATATTTGTTTTCTAAACACCAATAAGTATACTCTGTTGTGTTAACTAAAGAAGCCATGATTTAAAAGAGAAATTTCAACCCTTCATTTCAATTCTATGATAATCAACACCAATATTTTTTCTAATTTTGACTGTATAAATTATAATAGGATTTATCAAGATGAGAAAAATATATGAAATCTGTAAATTAATTTTGAAAACGGTAATTTACAGCTCTCTTTTCTTGTAGCTTAAAAGGAAAATAAGGCCATTTTTGACATCTCCAACATGAATACTGAATAAAAGCTTTCTTTCCTAAAAACAAAATATATGCTTTACATAAATGCAGACTTTAACTTCCTCATCTATATCTAACAAAGAAAACATTGTGTATAGTAAGAATATTTACAAAGTAAATATATTATCTCACTCACTTCTATTTATAATGTGAAAAGTCCTATGTGTAATAATGTAAAGCATTAGCTACGGAATAAAGAAATGATTTCTCCTTTTATCCATTTTACCAAACCACTGAAAAAATCTCACTAGCTAATATCAATCCTATTAAAAATAAAATTTTTAAAAATGCTATTTCCGAGCCCTCGCTGGTGGTGCAGCCAATTAAAGCACAGCACTAAAAAGTCAAAGCCACTTCAGCATGAGTTCAATCCCTGCCCCAGAGATGACCCACATGGCGCAGCAGACATCTCCTGAGCTGCCCACTGCTCCCCTCAGCAGTCAGCCTGTTTCTGCTCCCCACTGTCTCTGGTGAATCCTCCCACTGGCCCTGCACCTCTGGCCTGTACCCTAGTTCTGTATGCATAGATGAATAAATCTTCGAAGAAAAAAAAATATATAAAAAATGCTATTTCCTAGTAAGTCTACTCTTTTAGTTTGATGAGAGATATACTGGAGGCACATCTTCATGTATTTATAGTGGTGAACAGCACAAATTCTGAATCCAGACTAACAGGATTCAAATTACACCTCAATGACTTCCATCTTTTTGATCTTGGCAAATTCTACGTTCTTATCATTCCTAATTTTACCTTTTAAAATAGGCTGGAGAAAAATTATACATTTACATTAAAGGGTTGTAGCAAAAATTAACTGAGTAACAAGAGATGATTAGCAGTAATAATTTTTATCATAAGAGTCATTATTCTTTTGACTTTTCATAAGCAACAAATATTTAATAATTACTAATATTGATTAATGTTAGTAATTATAGGCTAGAATGAAAGTCACTAAATATAATTTGGTAGAAATCTTGTTTCAGTAATAATGGGCAATAATAATAATGGGTAAAAACCAGCACTGACTATTTTTACATTTCCATGAAAACAGTGATATTCTTTATAGCAAAACATATTTTAACATATATACATTAGATATTCTTCAACACTGGAACAACTGGAGTTCCACTAGACAACTAAATCCTATAAAAATTATATGAGTAACTATTTTCTCCATTCTACAAAGAATGGTACAAAGCTAGTAACATTCTAGGTGCATCAGAAAGAAGTTAATTCATCACATACAGTGGATACCCTGGGGCACTGGAAATTAATGCTCATTAGAAAGTGAGAGGGGCTCCACACAAGCAAGCCCTATCTACTGTAATCTTTATCTTCAGTATGTGTTCAAAATAATGCAAAGATAGTAATTCCTATGACTTTAGAGGTAGAAGTGGAATTTGAAATAGAACCAATATACATCATCTTTTTAGTATTTAATACTAAACACTGTCCTTTTATATTATGTACATTTGAGAACTTACACAAGACATTATAAAATGTCTTAAAAAGTAATCTACAAAATAATCTACACTTCTGCTGTTTCACTGAAGAAAATTAGCATTTCCTGCAACTTTTCCATTATTCACATTGGAAGTATTTGTCATGTATTACTATATCCTGTGGCATAAAGAGGTGAATTATTTTTACTTTATAATCAACAAGTGTAGATTATAATCAACATGTAGTTATTAATCTACATTTAGCTCAGCACTAAAAATCTAAAGGCTAGTTGGTTTATCTGCTACTATTGAGAAAATTCCTATAATTCACTGACTCAGCTACTGTAATGTGTTATACCATCACTAAAGTAACATGAAGAAAGCACTGCCATTGGTAAAATACCACTGATTATATAATGCGATTTGATTTGCAAAGTTGTATAAAAAAATGTGAAAAATATATACTATTAAATTGAAATATATGTGCATTATAAACACAAACACCCCCCCCCCACACACACACACACACACTATTGGTGCTTAAACAAGAATCTAGGTTTCCTGAACCCTAGTATAACGTTCCCACATAAACAACCTTTATACAAAGCAAAACAATCAACACTGTGCTCAGTTTAACTCACATGAGAAATTACCATTAAGTTACCAAGTTTTCAATGGTTTGCTATATATAGCAATAGATAAGAAAAACGGATAGCTATTCGGAAAATTATGCTTTTATAGTTGATTTTTACATCACTTTGTGCATTTTTCCATCTTAGTTGTAATTCCCATGGGTTTCCCAACACCAAGTCACCCGTGTGGCATCACTATCGTCCAGTGCATTTGCCTTCCCCCATTGTTTTTGATCCCATTCCCCTCTCCACCCCCATAAAATGTCTCTGGTATATAGCTGCTCATTATTATTATTTTCTCTCCTAGTCTGTTATACTCCTGCTATGAGTGAAACCATCCAGTATTAGAAAAATTACTTTTAAAAGCCATTAGTACCTCAAAATGTTCTTTGATAATGTAGGCATTTGCAATTTTAGCCTTGATGCCTTCATAATCTCCAACATCACTTATGCAGATTGCATACCACTGAAAAACAAAAGGTTTATGAGTAAACAATATTCCATTCAAACAAAGTAAAGCAAAAACTATTATTCACATCATTCTCACCAAAAAGATAATGAGCATAAAATCTATTAATTTTAGATTTACGAAGGAATATACAAAGGAAGCTGGACACGGCCATGAAACAATGACACGACCTGTTTATAGAGAACAATACTACGTAGAGAGCAGTGAATCTTCAGGAAAATTAATAGTGCAACATAAAGATAATGACTCATGTTGACAGTATAAATTTTGAAAAATTAGCAAGTGATGGTTTTCTCTTCCTCTTTTCTGAAAGCAACCTCTTCTTCCATATCTACCTTACACTAGAAACAGCCACACTTGTCAACTATGACCCATAATCAACAGTTGGACAGCAGACCCAAACAAAGTTTATTCCCTACAATCTGAGTATCAAAGATCCACAAATCAACAAACTACGAAGAGAAGGGAACTTTCTCACTCCAATAAAGAGCATCTATGGAAAACCCACACCTAAAGTCTTGTGAAAGACTAATAACTTTCACCATATAATCAAGAATAAGACAAATATATATATATATATATAT